CCTTCAGTGGCCTCCTGTTCGCAGGGAGAATTTGGAGGCTGGGGCATCCTCTACAGCACTGTGAGCTGGAATGGGACCGCACTGGTGCCCAAGTCCTTCAGCCACATCTCCCTCTGCTATTTTGTCTCGGCCGTCTCCGTCGTGGTGGCCCTGTACTGCTTCTCGTTGCTCCTCTACGGCATCTACGGCTGCTGCACCAACGAGTCCCAGTGGTGAGCTTGGCGGGGGGGTGGGGTGGCGGAGCTGGGGGTGCCCCGCGACGCCCTGTGCCCCTGATGCTGTTCCCCTTCTCTTGCAGGGACCGCACCTGGCTCAGCATCGCCCTGGTCGTCGCCTTCATCATCCTCCTCTTCCTCCTTATCGCAGCCTGCATCCTCCGCGTGGGGATGGATGCTCTCTGCGCCTCCATCGTGCAGACCAAGAGCCTGTCCAGGTAACGACGACCTTCCCTGGGGTGGGGGGGTCCCCCTCTGGCCCCAGGGGGATACGGCCTTCCCAGGGCCCCCCCCCTTTCTCTCCACACCTCAGGCCTGCTCTTCCCTGTCCCCCACAGCTGCCAGGATGCTGAGCACAAGCCGTGGGTGTCCTACAGCCCAACCCGCTTCTACAGCAACCTCTACAGCGCGCAGGTGAGCCGGCCGGCGTGCTAAAGCCCCCCCCTCCCCTATCTGGGGTCTGCACAGCCCGGCTGGTGCGCGGGGGGTGAGCGAGGGGGAGCAACGGAAAAGCTGAAGCCCCCCCGCTCCCGCAGAGGAGAAGGGAGGGAGAGTCTGTCTGTCCTGGGATCGGGTGAGGGACAGCACCCATGCATGGGGGGGTGTGTCTGTTGCAAGTAGGGGCGCAGCTGTACCTGCAGGCATGCAGTCGCTGCTACAGCCGCATGTACGGCATCCCCATGGCTGCTGCCTCGGTGGGGGGGGGCTTCCCAGGCAGAGAATTCGGGGAGGGGGGTGTGGGGGGGGGAGGCATACGGCACAGCTCAACCCCCTGTCCCCCCCCCCACCCAACAGGCATCGGCCTGGGTGAACGTGTTCCTCTGGTGCCTGCTGACCACCCGGCTGCTGGTCCAGCGACGGAGGGAGGGTCCTTTCCCGCTGCTGCGTCGCAACGATCCCGAGTGGAGTGCCGAGACGGAAGCCATTTTCGGGGGACGCCCGATACAGCCCTGAAGGAAGGGGGTAGCAGGCTGGGGCAGGGGCGCGGGCAGACCTGGGTAATGAGTGTGGGGTGCCCTCCTCCAGGCACCCTATGATGCAAGAGAAGAAAAGGATGTCATTAGCCCTGCCACCCCCGCTGGTCCTGCCCGTGGTGACGAAGGCAGCGGTGCTGAAGGACCCTCTGCCAGGGAGCTGGGTGTTGGGTGGCACCGGCCAAACTCCTCCATCGTCAAGGCTTTTTTTGGGTGCTGAGCTTCATTATTAAAGACAAAGATTTTCTGCAGAGGAGCCTGTGCCTGTACTCGAGTGCTCACGGCTGTAGCCTGGACCGGAGCGGCTGTTGTGGGAGGAGGAGGAGGAAGGAGGAGAGGGGTCACGGCTCGGCTTTTCCGGCAGCGAGGCGGGGGTTCTACAACCGTCCTGTTCGGCAGAAACATCCGCTTCTCCACGCGTATCGCTTCTGCCGGGGATGGGGGGGAGCGGTGGAAAAACCGCCCTCACCAACCGGGAGCACCGAAGTAGGAAGAAACTTGAGCACGGAAATACCAAAGTCCGTGATCGTTTACTCTACCTTTAACCGGTACAAAAACCCCACGGGGTGGGGTGCACCGTTCCCGGAGGCACTGCAATACCGGGACGATGCGCGGAGCGGAGGGAGCAAGCTCCGGGTCCAACTCCCGAGCCCAAAAATCCGTTTAATATAAAGTCCTCTCATCGAGGACGTATCAGATATTAAACTGTTAAGAACAGATACTACACTTGATCTTAGCCAAAAGGCCGAGAAGCGATAACGACACCTCCTCCGCCACCCCGTCACCCCCGTCGTGACCCCCGACCCCCGCTCTCACACAACTCACGGTCACGATCCACCGACCCGCACCGACAGCCCCGCTCCCTCCCCGATCCTTCCCCGCACTGTCCCGCAATCTCTCGCCCGGATTTTCGGACCACCGACCCCCGAGAGACCCCCGGACTTCTCCTCATCGGGGCCTCCCGGGCCGCCCTTTGGAGCCCGTGGGTGCCCAAATTTGCGTATCCCCGCCTCCGGCTCCCATGCGCCACGCCCCCTCGCCGTTTCCCCGCCGCAACGCGATGGGCGCGCTGCGCACGGCAATTTGCATCCGCCCCGCCCCCTCCCTCCGGCCAAGGCCGAGCCCGGCAGCAGCGCGGGCAGCGCCTGTGGGAGAAGAGGTTTAAGAAGCGGGGAGAGAAACTGCAGCCCGAGAGAGGAGGGAGAAGAGGGGACAGTAACAGCTCTGCGGACACCAAGGGCGGTGGGGAAGGAGCAGCGATTCCCCTGCAGCCCGTGGGGAAGACCGCGGTGGGGCAGGCTGTCCGCCCCGCAGCCCATGGGGGTTAATGGTGGAGCAGATATCCACCTGCTATCCCTCCTCAGCCCAGGACCCCACGCCGGAGCCGGGGAAGAGTGAGGAGTCCTCCCCCGCAGGAGGAAGGAGCGGCAGAGCCGAGGTGGGATGAGCGGACCCCGACGACCCCCATTCCCCGTCCCCCTGTGCCGCCGGCGGGGAGGAGGTGGAGAGAACCGGGAGTGGAGTGCAGCCGGGAAGGAGGGAGGCCTGGGGGCAGGGGTTGTGAGATTTGGGTTTATTCCTCGTTACCCTGCTCTGCTTTGATTGGCAATAAAATTCATTTCCCCGAGTCGGGTCCGCTGTGCCGGCGGTTGCCGAGCGATCGATCTCCCGCCTTATCCCGACGGCTCGCTGGGCACCTGGCGGCCGGCCGCGGCCGGCCCGCCACGCCCCCTCGGCGTCTCCTGGCGACAGGCCCCACCCCCTGAGCCGCATTCGCCCCGCCCCCCCGTCCTCCCTCCGAACCCCGCCCCTATCTCCATACTCCGCCCCCGGTTCCCGTATGCGCCCCGCCCCTTCGCCGTTTTCTCGCGGCTACCCGATTGGCGTGCCGCGCACTGCAATTTGCATTCCCTCCGCCCCCCCGACGTTCCGGCCTAAACCCCGAGGCGATTGGCATATTCCACGCGACGTTTTGCCCCCGCCAGGGTAGCGGCGATCTCATTGGCCGGAGAACGCCCCGCCCACTGCCCCGGCCCCACCGGCCTCCCCCCCCGCCCCCCCGCCGGG